TAGACCATACTTGATAGTTATAGGGCACTGTCAAGAGTAGGTTAAAAGGGCCTCCCCGGTGGCGCAGCGGTTGAGCGCTGGGTTGCGAAGCTGCCCGCGGCCTCTGCGGCGCCGGTTCGATCCCCGGCTGCTCCCCGGCCACCGGAGGAGGGTCCCACATGGCGCGCAGACCTCTCCTGCCGCCCGCTGCTCCCCTCAGCAGTGTACTTCGGTCCTTCTGCCTGTTCTGCTCCCCGCTCTGGCTCTGGTGAATTCTCTCACCCTCCCGTGCTTCTGACTGTACCCAGTGCATGTATAAACAAAAAAACAAACAAACAAATAAATAATAAATAAATAAAAACATGCCTCTATAAAAAAAAAAAAAAAAAGAGTAGGTTAAAAAATTACAAAAATAGTATTATAATAGATACATATAAAAAAAATCACACACACAAGATGTAAACTATAATACTAGGAAAATATTTAACTGGTAATATTGTTATACAAAATACTTTTAAGGCTAAATGAACATAATTAGGGATTAAGAGGGTCACGGCAAGGCCACTAGATTATGAACATACCAATTCTATACTTACATGCACATAATGCCTAAATTCACATTAAAATGAGCTTTTCAATAAAATACTGTCACACTGATTACTTCTCTTATTTTTACTATCCACCACCTGCACATTCCTTTCTTTTATGCATATGGCCAAATGACATGATTGAAACCCCACCCCCATTCTACCAAGTCAATATAATTCTCTTAGTGTTAAGTTTAATAAACAAAACACGTTTCCAAATGTGATTTCTAAAAAGATGACCTCATTATGAATAAGCAAGATTATGCAGATTTTATACAGATGATACATTTCCTTGCTAAATATGTGTTCTTGCATAGCGGGCAATGTAAATGTCCAAAAAATGTATTATTAGGAGTGTTGATTCTGAAGTTGGGCTGCCTGGGCTTAAAACCTACTTCCACCACTTAATGTGGCCTAAAATATTCCTTAATCTCTCTGAGTTAGTTTCCTCACCTCTAAAATGAAGTGGAGAGTGGTGCAGAAAATTTAAAAAATAGTATATACCTCAACTGTGAACATTAAATGGAATAATCCTTATATAGTGCATACAAAATGCTTGACACAGTAAGCACTCAAAAATATTTATGATTCATTGGTTATTTTAAGGTTCTTTATATGCTAAATGTTCTCCTTAAGTGAAATTTAAGTAACTGAGAACGCATTTTAAAATATAAAAACTTGAAAATATTGACCAATGGATTGAACATATAAACCATAAATATTCATTACAGTTAAGGAATTTAACAGGCATTTAATTGAAAGTCTATATGCCATTCAAAAGAGTATGTGGATAAAGATTAGTATCCTAGGATAGCCATTTCTTATGGAGGAAAAAAAATAAACCTGATACAATGAGCTTTCTGTATTTTATAAATTTGGAACTATTCCAATAAATGGAAAGTACTTATAAATCACATACATGACCAGTTTCAAAAAAAATTACACAGAAATATAGCAAAATGAACATAATCACTACATAATATTTAACTTACTGTTCTTTTATTATTTTGATGTTCTTTTAGGATACTAGAGTGTCCCAAAGTTATTATCAAAGAATCATCAATAAAATGTAGATATGCAAGCATGTGTCAAACCATGTGCTCAATGAAAGACCACCACATTAAAAAAGAGATTATACTGTGTAACAGAAAAATAGAGTGATCATACAGATGGCCCATCAATCCTCCTTCTAGGAATATACACTTAGTATACACCTCTAATGATAATCACATACAGTTATTTACTTCATCATTATTTATAATTGTAAAGTATCAGAAACCTAAATGCCCATTCATAGGCAGTGACTGATTATATTTCTGTTAAAAAAAAAAATGGAAATGTCTATAAACTCATATAGAGTGATGACCAGGCTACATATTAATAACTGAAAAAAAAAAAAAACTACAGTGCAACAGAAAAGAAGGTAATATACATATAGTTGTGCACAATACAAAAAGGTTAATTAAGTACATTCAAAAACTGAATGTACTGTTTACTTACAAGTGGGTAGGCGAGGAAATGATAAAAAGATGGGAGTGAGGTAGCAGGAATGAATAGGGACACTTCTCGGTGTTTATCTTCCTACATGGCTCTCTTATATACCATTCATACACCACTCCCCAAATAAACCATTAAAGCCAGTGAAGATGCAAAGAGGACCTAAACTGGAACACAATCTCCAACAAATGAACTTGTTTTACAATTAAGTGACAGTCACAGTGAAGGGTGTGGGAAAGAAAAGAACTAAGCAATTTTTGAAAACAGTTGTTTGACTGATAACTTTATAAAATTAAGGGGGAAGAGGGAGGCGGAGGGAAGAATATGGAGTAATAAATGTGTTCCTCCCAGGAGTAAGGATTAAAACTCTGAAACTACTTTTGCTTAATATATTTACTAGATTTGAAAGAAAATAAGTAAACACATAGTAGATAAATAAAAGTCAAATTTCTCACTGTTGGAGGAAGAGTATGTGGATACAGATTATGGGCTAAAGTCCACATAATGTGGATAAAGTCTCAAGAAAAATTAAAATGAATCCTGTAGTGTAAGATTAGAGCCAGAAGTATCAGTATAAAGGTATTTTAAACAGACACACGTATTTAAGTCTGTGCCCTGGTCAAAATACATAACTTCCTAGCTCTATTTACAGAAAAGGACAAAAGCAGTGACACCCAATGGCAATTCACATAGCCATGTGAGAACATGTTTAAGGTAAACCCCTCAATAAAAGGAACAAGGGCTCCTTGGAGAAGTGGCTGATTCCAGGACTAGGGCAGGATAAAAAGAAGATAAGCCTCCAGCATCTTGTGCTAACAGGGAAAAAAGGTGTAAAAGGACAGGGAATGGGTTAAAGAATTCAGGAGCCAGCTCAAAGTAGTTCTGGAAGATCAAAGTTAGAACAACAGAGCAAACAAAACAATGATAACTGGATCTAAACCCACAGGGTAAAATAAATAGCCAAGTCCATAAATAAATACAGAAAGGACAAAAGAGAAAATCAACATTAGGCAAACACCACATTAGTAATTGTTGCAGATAAGATCTACCAATTAAATACAAAAATCAGTGGGTTTAGTTTGTGGAGAAGGAATTATCTGCATAACCTCAAAGTATCTCCTCCATGGTTCTTAATAAGAACAAAGGAAAAAGTCTATAGAAGAGAAATCTGGCAGTCCCACCTTACAAAGTCTTCACATTTAACATATTGAAACATGGACCTCCTAAAATGACACACTAAAATGCATCGTTATTATGAGCCTCTCTTCGTATGATGACGTATTTCTGTGATATTCCTGTCCAAAATTCAAAACCTCATTCTAATCATGTGAACATCAGACAAACTCCAACTGAGGAACATCCTATAAAATGCCTGACCAGTAACCTTCAAAAATGCCACTCATGAAAGGCAAGGGAAAAGCAAGGAACTATCAAAGACTGAAGGAGACGAAGGAGTAATCATTAATGCAAGGTGGGGTCTTAGACAGGATTCTGGAAAAGTTGCATAGGAAAAAAGTTGGTGAAATTCAAATAAGAGCTGCAGTTTAGTTAATTGTATTGTACCAATTTAAATCTCATTTTAATAATTGTGCTATGAGTATACAAGATGTTATAATATTAAGGGGAGCAGATGATTGGGGTATGTGGGAACTCTAAGATTTTTGCAATTTTCCTGTAGGTCTAAAATTACTTGATATATATATATATATATATATAAGAGAAAGAGAGAGTAAAATTACTTTATGTATATATAAACAAAACCTTAGTTTGCTGTTCTATTTGCAATAGTTTAAGAGACCCTCTTAAGACCAGTAAAGCTATAATATTGTTACACTCTAAAACTTTGTTGTAAGACTGGAAGCTACTTCATTTGGTCTATAGCAGAACATATGAAACTACCATCAAACACATTGCTTCTACTACCAACACTTGTTCTATAGGAGAACATCTAGTTAGAAGAAGTAACATTACCTACATAAACAACAGTAGGTTCAAAGTGAAGTTCAGGAAATGAAAAGTGATAAATGACTCTCAAAATTTCATGTTTCTAAACAATATCTCAATAGCCTCACAAAGAATTTCATTTTGGAAGAAAATCTAGCTCAGAAAAGCTCACTTGAATAGCAAGTGGTGTTGGAGTTCCTTAGTGTATATCATTATATTCTTGATTGGGCTTGGTTTAGTTTTTCTGCAGGGAATGATGGGCTGAGAGAAGACCAGTTTTTAACGAGAAATATATGCACTTGATCAAAATTTACTAAAGCTCAAATCACATTTGGAGAAGATCTTCAAAATCAGTTCTGTGTTCTGAATTATCCATTAACTTGTGGGGATTCAGGCTCACCACCACCCCGCCCTGATATTAAAATACATATTCATAAAACTTTTACAGTTGCACTGTTCTACTTACAAAAAGCTTCTACTTTTCTAGGACATAATTTCACTTTGTTTAAGCAAGAATTCATTAAAGAAGCTATAAATAACCTTTAAATATTTAGCCATGAAAGGAGGGTGGACTGGCATTGAAGGCTTATTTTAGGACTAATGCAGAATGCTCTTTAAAAGCTACATTTTAGCATGCATCAAGCTAATGATTAACACTGGCAGTATAATTTTCATTGTTAGAACGAATTTCTCTTTAAGAAAATTTGCTAAAAGTAACTATGTTATTTCAATTATTTACTAGTAGGAAAGTAGCCTTAGAGAATGAGATGTTGGAAAGGGTAAAATACGAAATTCTTATTGAAAAAAATCTATTATATTTTAGCATCTAGACAACCTTTCCTTTGTTCCCAAAGTATACCACCAGTTAACACTGCACACACTAGGTTAGGAGTGCCTGTGGAATCGGACAATTCACGGATGCATCATGTGGTGCATGTCGCATGTATATGAATCAAAGACACTTCTAAATGCAGTCATAAAGTTCACATTTTAGAGACCAAGTTTCATAAAATTTTTACTTGAAAAAAAAAATGTTTTACAAAATACCATTCTTCCAATCAAAGAAACTTTCCCATAGGGTACACATAGCTTCAGGCCTCAGAGATTATAGAATGACAGAAGGGAGAGTTTTTTAAATAGCCACCTAGTTGCAAAACCTACAAGAAGTAGATTTTTTTTAAAGTGCCTTTCAAATGCTAAAGCAAGTAATATAATTGTGGAATCTACTTGAAATTTAAAAGTTTCTTTAAAATGGTCCATATGGTATGCACAACATCACAGCTGGCATAAACCTGCCTGTATTTAGTTCAAAACACAAAAACAATGCATAAGAACAGTAATCTTTAAAAAATAATCCGAAATGCTGCCACTACATCATAGGGCACACTTAGACAAAAAAGTTGACAGTATTCAGAGAATTAACAAAACAAATAGTATCTTGAAATATTCAAACATTTACTTTGATTTTTTTTTAAATACCACTGATAAGGGTAAGAGAACTTGTTGACAAATTAATGCAGGATGCCTCATTTCAAACTACCTACAACATATTTTGCTATATATATTCTAAACAAATGCAAAACTCGGTTTTAGAATGTAAACTCCCATTTCCTAGACAGTGCCTAGTTTTTTTGCTGCAATCTAGCAGCTTTGAACTTTGAAACCCTCTTTGTAGTTTCTTCTGACACTTCCGACAGAACTTCTTTTCGTTCTGGAATGGTGGGCAGCACAGGATGAGCCATGGCGGGGTGTGGTGTTAAGGAGGGTGATAAAAATTCTTTTTCTATTACAGTTCCAGAAAAAGCCTACAAGACAAAAGTCAGATTATGGTAATAAACTACAAATAAGATGTCCACAAAACCTTTATCCTGTATCTGTTAGACATTTCTTTTCATTAAAAGTAAATTCCTAAGATTCAATAGACAAAAATATAACATCAAAATAAAAATTGCTCAAAGAAATCAAGTACCATTAAAATATTTTAATTACACTATCAAATGTAAGTAGAAATACAATACATATACAAAAAAACAAAATGCAAAATAATATTTTTTATATCTGAGATTAAATAAAAACAGTAAATAAAAGGTCCTCAACTTTTCATACATTCCATTTATGCTCAGACCATGCTAGATAAAATAACATATTAAATAAAAAACACTTGGCTTTTTTAGGAATGAGCTGCCCTGTGGTGGGGCTGCTGCCTGCCAGCAAACAGCTCAGCTTCCCCAGAAGTGACATCTCAGAGTGGTGGTCACACAAGTTATCTGAATAGTTTATTGCATTTTGCTTCAACTTTAGAGATGAGTGAAAACAAAAATAAAAGTGCTGATACTGGTCAGTCTCAACTTTTAATACATTAATTCAATGATGGAAATCAGAGGTTCCACAAAGTAAGATTTTCTTTCATTTTACCTGGATATTTGTTGGATTTATCTACTCAACCTATACGTTCAATTGCACAAAAGCAGCATGTACAAACTGTAGAAATATAATCAAAGACATATCTTCTATGTGGTCATATATTTATATGTAGATACATATGATGTGTTATATAAAGACATAACTATTATCAGCATGCATACACAAGCATGCTCGTGTGAGTATGCATGCTTGCATGTATGTTTCCCACAGTAGCTGAAACCTTCCATGAGCTGAAAGGGCATAAAGTGAAAGCAGCAATTACCATTAATTTATAAGGAAAAATTTATGAGCATTCTCAGACCCCAAAACCCACCTATCCAATCATAACAAACAACACAAACAACATAAAGTGACAGTAACATACAGTAAGAGTAAACATGATATGCTAAATGCACAGCCTGCATAAAGTAATTCCCAGGGAAGGAGCTAGGCGGGACCACTCTTGTGACTCAGGGCACACATGCATCCAGGGCAGTCAGTGCAAAACAGACCCTTTTCTCACTTTTTGTAGAAGTGAGAATCCTCTTCAAATTTCCTTTGTTATCAAAAACAGGTGGTAATGTAGGTCTTTTTGAAGCAAAGAGGTGTTAACTTGAATTTCAAAAAATGAGGGGATACCAGTCTCATTTTGATAAAGATATTTAAAAACGAAAGTATTTTTCTTTTTATGATTTCTGGTATTCAGAACCTCCCACCTTGTCTCTGCTAAGAACGCATGTACAAATGAAATTTGGACACTTAAATTTTCACATATATTTTGCTTTCCTTTGTCTACCAAATATACAAAGTTACTTAAGACATTGTAATCACTTGGGCAGTTTAAAAATACCCTCTCCTCCACCTTGCCCCACCAAAGAAGAAAAAAAAAGAACCCCCTCTCCTTCCCACAGTATTCTGAAACCTGGCTTGAGTCCAGCTCAGTCTAGAACTGGAAAGGCGACTTTCCTACAAACTCCACTGTATCATGATGAGTAACCGGTCTTCTGTATTAACAATGCTTTTGAAAAAGAGACAATATTCTAACATTTAAAGATATTTTTCAAACTGCTTGCCATAAACTATTCTGATATTAAAAATTCACAGGCTCTAGGTGCTAGCTGTAACAGTTCAACACAAAATGCTGAGGTAATAAGGCATAGGTGGAAATAAGTCTCAGGTGAACTTCCAACTCTATCACGACATATTAAGACCTTACAAACACCAAGTTTTTAAATACTTAAAAAAAAAAAGGTGAACATCTACACTCATTACCTGTTTTTTTCTGATAGTATGGAAGACAGAAGACTATTAAAAAAGATCCTTTTTAGGTCACCTGAGATCACGATAGTAAGGAGGAGAGGAAGACAATACTCTAATCATAGATACTGTCCCTAAAAGCTAATGATCTCCATTCTCCATTTACTACTGAATACAATAGTACCACTTAGTATAGGCAATAGCAGTTTTATGGGTGTCTACTTATATGTAAGCATATCTATTTTATATGTATTTGATGTATATGCAAATGTTATTATATCAGTTCCCCAGTCTGAGTTCCCAAGTCTTCCTAAGTACTTTTTTAAAGGAAAACTTTAAATACCCACCAAACACTAGATAAAAAAATCAAGTCTGAGTTGAACAAAAACCGTAACATATAGCTATTCCACATATAGGAATTCATATTTGGTCATCTCCCAAGACCCCTCCCCCTCCCTACACACAAAATTATGTGCAATGTAGGGGTAAGAGTGTATGCGTGCACTCATTTTTTTTGAGGAGTGGATCTATAGTTTTCTATAACTGCAAATAGTTCCACAGACCCAAATGTTTCATTAAACATTTTCACTGGCACAGGACAAAGCATATGAGGACTTTAGAGAATTATCTGTTGTGGGTGTGTGCATTATACATATATAAAATATTTATATAAATAAAAATTAATTCAATCAAGCATTTTATAAAGTATGATCTACTATGAATTATTATGAAATGGCTATCGTCTACTCCAGTGGTTATCTAAGACACTAAATTATTTATTAGCCTAAAAATATAACACATACTCTAAGATTTTTTAAAATGAAATGGAACTTCAAAACTGGTAATATTTTTAGCTCCACCCCAAAAGTGTTGAACTATTTTAATATCATATTTGTATTATATTTGCTAGTGACTACTAATTTTTTGCACATTATCATCAAAAAGTACAAGCTTAGAATGAATTAGGTCCTATGACTTTTGAGACTAAAATACATGTATGAAGAATCTACAAGATAAACAATGCCATTACTCAGTTTATTAAATTTAATAAATAACACCTGAGGGGAGGAGGGACGGTGCCTATACTCTCAAAATGCAAACAATAATGTAAACCAACATTACCTACCAAAAAATAATAACCCATCAATAAATAATTTAAGGACAATAAAATAAATGACCTAGAGACTATATCTGGGAGATATGGCAGCTGCAGTTACAAAACAGAGGAGGGCCTCCTTTAAAGAAATTTCTTTTCAAGTCCAAAAATGATTGCAAAAAGAGAAAATGAATCCTACGACCCTCTGAAATGGAGTCATTACCACCTTTTCAAAACTTGGCCAAAGATAATATATGAAATAGAGTTAAAGACACACACATACCTCAGGTGCTCCAGATAAGGGTAAAAGTTTCTTTTGATGATTTTGTTGTTCCTCTTCCAAAATGCTCTCGCCAGCGTCACTGCACACGGCCTCATCACAGCTGACACTGCGCACAAGCCCCCGCCTGTCGTCGAAGTCAGCAGCACTGCTCTCGCTGGTGTCACTGCACACGCTGTTCTCTCTGCTGCGAGACTTCAGGATTGACTTACGAGGGACATACTCTCCATTCACCACATCAACAAAGACTCTAAATAATCCAAGAAAACACACACCCGCTCACTTTAGGGTAATTCAAAACTGAGGAAAAATTTACAAAATCATTCCTAAATGCATTATAATCTTAAATATTTTATTCAAACCTACCTAATTTTTTCACAATCTTTTAAAATTATTTTGGAAAAAAGATACTGTGGTCTAATAAAATATAGCACTTTATTTGTAAGCATGTTGTGGGTAACAACAGCTAGATCTGTGCAAGATTCTACATACATTTTAATCGACTCAGAAGACATTTAGCAATGATCACTTACAATTTTATAAACATGAGTTATAAAAACAGTAGGTATTTTCAAATATTAGCTTTCTCAAGAAACAACCTAACAAAAAGCTGGGTTAGTAGTCTTCTCTTCTGTGAAAAGGTAAACTACATGCCAAGCATCATCACAGCTGTGGCTGCAAAGTCCTGTCCTAGCCCACCAGAAACACAAACTCCCATTTCTCAAGTTAACACAACAGCTTTTGACTCACTGAGAATGAATGAAGCAAAGACGGGGAAAACCATACAACATTCTAATCACTCTTGCCTAGAAAGCTACAGTGGCTCTGGTCTCCTGTGAGGGCAGCTACGATACAAAGCTTACTCTATAGGCAGAGTACCCTGCTTTTCATGGAGTCCTCTGTGTTACAAACAACCTTTTCTGTAAATGCACAGTTGCAAAAAGAAAAGAGGGAAGGGAGAGACTGTCCTGCTCTGTGAACACGCTCACCTATAAATGTCAGCAGGCGTCCTAATGGTAGGCAGCTCTTGGGCAGCATGGCTACTGCCAGAGCTGTTCTTTCGTTTACGTTTGGCTTCTTCTTTCTTTTCACTGAATTTTAAAGTGGTATTTTTTCCAGTATTTATTCGGACCTAAAAATATCATAGCGAAAAATTATAATCCCTCTGAGAAATTAATTTAAGGTCACAACTAAAACCAATAAAGCCTATAAGTTAAAGAAATAATAGTAAAAGAGGCAGTTAAAAATTTTTGACTCTAAAATGATGTGCATTATCAAACAGAGTAAAAAAGCCTTTATACCTTATCATAACTTCCACGGCATTAAATTATCTCTTTTTTAATGACCAATTCAAGTCTTCAGTGACTTTATTATTATATAGAAAGCAAAATACATTTCAACTAACCACTAGATTTATTACAAGCTTTCACATCACCCTATTATTTTGATATAAGTTTTTGGCTTAAATCATGCATTTCAAAACAAAGAGCACAATTAACCAAAAGAAATATTCACTAAGAATATAAAATTTAAGTCATAAAAACAATACTAGATTGCTTAACTGTTACAAATTTTTAAAATACCTCTAATTTTTAGAAATCTAAAGATTTGAAAATAAAGCCAACCCTGCCCCAGATAATGATGTTATTCTTCTAGACCCTACGAGGCATTTATACTGCATTTTCTATATTTATGATTGTTCTCCCCTATAACATTCCTGCAAGTATTACTTATTCTTCCCATTTTATCTAAATGAAAATGAGAAAAATTTTACATCCAAAAAAAATTACAAAACAAAATTTTTTTTCTGGTTAAGCAGTTATTTTTTTCCAAAGAATTCATAAGATGCCTCCTTTTAATATAAAACATTAGAACATATATATATATACACACATATGTATTTTATATATATATATATATATATATATATAAAGAGAGAGAGTTATTTCACTTCATATTAGAGCAGGGATAACTTAAGGGACCTAAAAAAGAGCAAATATGTTTCAAACATGTTTCAGTAAACAATCATCAGACACACATAAAACTGGTACCACATAGGCCCTTACCTCTGACAAAGGCAATCCTTACAGGAATACCTTGCGGTAAAAAGACCACTAAACTGAGATAAAGGAGTCCCTGTTTTATTACTAACCAGTCCTCTGGTCTTCTAGGCCTTAAGTTTCCTTGAGAAAGACAAATTAGAAAGATGACTTCGTAGTGTCTCCTTCCAAGCAGAGAGAGGACAAGGGATGAACTTAAGGCAACCTGTTATTTCTTAAACCAGAGGCAAGCTGCTTTGATCTATTTTAAAAACTGGGATTCTTACAGTAAGTATGGAGGGAGCAAAGTCTTCCGATACCAAAGAGTTTAAAAATACTCTATTAGAAGATCTCCACAGATCTCCCCTAGTTCTAAAATGCCAAAATTCTGAAGTCATGATTACCCACAGATGTTTATATTTACTCTGTCAGAAAAGGAACTAATTTTTACTTCCTCCTAATTTTTTCCTTTTTGCACATGATGCTCCTATTCATTTTATGCCCACATAGAAAACAACAACCTGGTGTAATTAAAAATTTAACTAATGCAGTCACTCTCAACATCCTAAATACACCAAAATGCCCACAATACAATTAACTCTAGAATTCTTAAGAAAACTGTCTGAATGAAGGACTGGTACAGTTGCCACTCAAATCAGATCCCCTCCCAGGCCCTAAACACTTCAAATTCTATTATGGCTTCAGAGAACAATGACTATCAGCTAACTATAACTAACAAGACTTTCCTTCTTCCTTTTTAGATAAAACTGGTCAGAACAAGAGGCAAATAAAATGGTTTTCTTGTTTGGCACGATCAACAAAAATATTAGCAATATTCTCTTAGAGAGTATCATAGATCATGCTTAAGTGATCAAATTATATGCAAAGTTAATAAAATTAAAAGTATACAAACCCTCTTAGGTTCAATAGTATGAGAAAAATATATTGTTGGGATAGAGTCATCTCCAAACCCTAAATCATCATGGCCGTTTTCATGGTCATCATTGTCATCATCTTCTTCCTTTTCTTCTTCTTCATGACTGTGGTAAGAATGCGTCCCATTCATTGAACAGTTCAACTGACCATTCAGTCGACCATTGAACAGTTCTGAATTTGTGACATTCTTACAACTATTAGGTGTCAGAGAGTCTGTTACTGGATGCATCACATTCACATTTATGTTCTGATCTTCCTTTTCCTCCTCAGAAGATGTTGTATCATCTCCATTTGTAATCACAGTATCAGGTTTACTAGAAAAGAAAAAAAAAAAATTAACAAGATCAAACACATTAGAATTTTAAATATTCTGTCAGTTTATTTCAACAGGTAAAATTTAAGACTTTGAATACAGTTTCTTTTAAATTAGAATTCTAGATTAATTAAAAACATTTTGAAATAAATTAGCAAAAATCATTAGTTCCTAATATAGTATCTTGTATTTATTCAAATAAAGAGAATATAGTAATTCCTCTTTATCTTTTACGAAGATATTGGCTATACACAATGTAAATAAAATTTTAAAAATTCAGTCAAAAATGTGTTAGAAATTTATAAAGAATATGTATCTCTATTTAAAGACCAGAAATTAAAGTAACAGAACTCTAACACTTTCTTATTTTCTATTTTTATACTCAGAATATTTTAGTAACATTCATTATTATAAAGAATCTATACATATGCACATTTGATATATTTATACACACACAAACACATTTTCTATGCTTTCTACAAAGGACTAAGGAACTTATAAAAATAACAAAACCAAAAAATGCAATGGAACCATAGTAAGAGCATACAGAACTAGAAAGAGAATCATGACCCCCTCAAAAAATCCCAAGATTCAAAACTAATTTTAAAATGTAATAGTACCAGTTAATCAAAAAGACCTAAGAATTTATAGGTGAAATGATAAGAAAATATAGATGTATCTTTTGTACTTTGTGTCCTATTTTTCACAGAAACTAATTACTGCCTATGGTACATCATTTAAGCAAAATAATGTAAGAACTTCTGCAGTAACAGATTTCATTGAGCACTTTGACAATTCTAAGTGAGTGCTAATGTGTATTTCAAATGGCAGTTTGGTGAGGTTTCTCATATATACATCTACCTGACCAGATTACAAATTGCCTACTCAATCAATAAACAAGAGTTTGCAAAGGAAAGAAGGATAAACATTTTACAGTAACAAACTTAAAATCAAAGTAAATTTTTTACAAGTACACAATTTTTTTCAAAAGTACACCATTATCCGGATTATAGTATAAAAATTCTTCATTTGAAATGTAATATATAAAAACATCCATATCTATTATAAAACAACTATCTGGTATAACTTATTATTTTATCTTTATTATAAAATATGGATAGAATCTTATAAAAATGAAAATGCAGATAGTGACTTGAATTATTTCTGTACAAGTACATGCATGGGAATGTGCAAGAGCAAGGACCCCCTAAAAGAAAATATTCTAGATTATTATTTTAGGTTGATAGGATTATTGATATTAATATTATACTTTTTCTGAATTTTCACCAATAGGCACATATTATATGAAAAAAATTAATAAGGAAATGTGTATAAAAACAAATTCTCTGGAAAAGATCATGTCATTAGGTACCTATCAAGTTCACCCAGCAATTCTTCTTGTCGCTCCAGTTCTTCAAGTCGATCCCACAGTTCCTTATCAGCAAGCAAATCCTTGGATTTTACATCATTTGTAAAATCTGCTTCAAAAATATCTGAAGTTTTTGGTTTGGAGTGAGGTTTATGAGCAATTCGATTTTTTGCTATTTAAAAAAAAAAAAAAAACGACCTGGCTGTTAACCACCAACTTTAACAAGACACAAACCTACAATTAGTAAGACTTTCTTTTGAGGCAAGGGGGATGTTAAGACTGAGAAGGACATCATTTTCAAGCCAAACAGGAGAACTCCACGAATGTGTTGTAGAATCTTGCCACTAAACGTGTAGTCCAAAGACCAGCACAGCACTATCATCCCAAGCACGGTAAAGATTACAAAGAACCGCTTGAGAGCTTCAAAAATGCATGTGCAGAAATGGCCACAATGCACCCCAGTTGCAACACAAAATTCAATACAAGGACACCCATCTCATATCCATACTGAAGAGAATTTATTTAAAGTAACACATAAAATCTTATCACAGGACACTTTCAACTCCAAGGCACTGCCAGGCATGAATACTCCAGGAATAATCTATGAAGGCTAACCTCTGGACAGTTCCACTATATTTTTATTTTTTAAAAAGATTTATTTATTTATGCATACGAGAGCTGGGGTACAGGCCAGACATGTGGCGGGGTGAGAGGATTCACCAGAGACAGAGTGGGAAACAGAACAGGCAGATTGACCTAAGTACACTGCTGAGGTGAGCCGCGGGCAAGGCAGGAGAGGTCTGCTATGCCATGTGGGTTGCTCCCTGACTGGCCAGGGATTGAACTCATGCTAAAGAGACTGCGGACTGCTTCATAGTGAGGTGCTTAACCCCTTGCGCCACGAGGGAGGCCCCACTATATTTTTATATATTAACATTTATACTTTTTAATAGTTTCCCTTATTTATAATCCTTAAGTAAGGGGAGAAGATGGGTGAAATGTGAACTCAACCCTATCTGCTTTTCATTTGAAAACAGTAACTTTTTTATAAAACAAATTAAGCTTCGAAGTTGATGACGGGAAGAAATCTAAAAAACTGTTATAAGATGTTGAAGTAAGAGAGGATCTCCATCATATATTCAGTTTACAACACTGTTTTCTAAATGTGAAATATCAAAATTACATTTCAGTCTGTACTCTGTGAACTGTTATTAACAAATTTTATATGTCCGATCTCTAAACCTTTCATTGCCATCACAAACAAAAATCATAACTTGCATTTCTGCTCTTTATATTTAATACATCTCTCCATTACTTGACTTTCTAAAGCTACTCACTATTATTACTTGTGATGCCACATCAGTAGAGATAGCATGGTCAAACTATGACTTCTAATGTTATCTCTATTTCATCCAGGAAGTTTTCAGAGTTAATTACTAAAATATGAATTTTAAAAACAAAAAATATATATTAAAAGCTTTCTAAGGTAGCAAAATTATAAGCCATTTCTAATACTTTGAAAACTTTTACTACTGTAATACTTTACAAGTGACAAGGGAATCTCTGGTAAATAGAAGTAAATCCAAACACATAACCATCTACCTGTGTGTGGAAAGCCACTACAGGAAACATGAAACAAGTGGTTAAAATACATTTAAGATTATATGTGTTCTTTCTTCCAAAAACAGGAGCTAAAGGTATAGTTCTAAAAAGAGAAAAATTCACAAAAGATATATTATGATTTAACTGGGGAGAGTGGAGATCCTCGTGCATAATAAACATCATCTGAGTTTTAGACATTTGGGTTATTAAAGAACTTTGATTAAAAGTCAGTACCTAAGCAGTCGAGAATAAAGCTTTTCATCAAAAAGTTACTGCCTACTCATGTTTATATTTACAATATGTACCAATTTTATATAAAAAATTATAAAAATACATTGATAAATGAAACATTTGCATCTTATGAATTAAAATAGCATGTCATAATATAATCCCACCTATTTAATAGACCCTTTAAAACTTTAATAAAAAATATCTCATAATCCCAAATATTTCAGAAGACTCCTTGAAAATCAACACACATAGCAAATAATTAGTAACTACAGATAAAACATCTTATACTACTTACCTTTATATTCAAAGTCACTTTTTATTTCTTCTCTTATATCAACTATATCACCCGCAGCCTAATGAAACAGAAAAAGCACATTAACAATTTGAACCCTCAATATATTAAATTATTACAGTATGCCAATTATTTCAATGAAACTAGAAGAAAAAGATATAAAAAAAGCACACTGAACACATTTTTCAAAAAATTACTAGAAGTACAATCATACAACCTAAGAATTAGTTATCTAAAAGCACTTGAAACTTCAAGTAATTTGTTCTTGGCTGTAAGACTTTTGGCAATATAAAAATTTTCCTAAAAAAAATACAAGACCAAATAGAAATACTTACATCACTCATCTTCTGCAAATCTTCAGTGAATTCCACTCTGGATTCAAAATTTTTCATCACTCTTTTTAAATCATCTATTGTTTTTCTCACAT